GGTACTGCCCCACCGCAGGCACCCGCGTCCTGCACGGCTCTGAGCTGCTCTTCCCCTTCTCGCCTCCCATCCCGGGACTGCGGCAACAGAAATCAAACATTGCTTTTCTCTGTAAATACAGCTCTTGGGCCTGTATTAACGGTTGTTTGTGTATGAGGAGGAAGTCGTCTCTGTGGTTTTACAAGCCTTTTTTTTAATCTCCAGGATAGTTATCCAGTCACGGGAGAAAGAGAACTCCGATCCGGATTACATTCCCATCAACAGCCGCTTTAAATGCGTACAAGGTACTGGCTCTCCTGGAGTGGGCTCTCATGCGGTGGCAGGAATCCACTGCTGTTCATCGGCAAAACCTGAGTTTAGTGATGTTTCTTGACCTGAACACCCATAGAGGTTGAATGCTTCCCTGTGAAACTAGAACTCACAGCTGATGGAATCCTGCCTCTTCCTCATCGGAGCGGGTGGTCTTTCCATGTCAGCGTACGGCTGTGAGGAGCATGGCTAGTTCGGCTCAGTGTTGGGCTTGGCATCGTACAGAGCCAGCGCGTTCAGCGCTTGTCTGCGCTGGCTGACGTTTGGTCTCTGCTGGTGTCTATCTGTCCGTGTTCTCCATAACGGCAAGAGTTGGGAGCTTTAGTCCGATTTCTGCACGTTTAGATCAAAACTCCTGTAAGGTCTGGCAAGCTGTCAGGTCCAAGCAGCCACCCACGGAATGGGAAGGAGCTTCAGGCCTCGTCTTGAAAGAACTTAAATAGCAATGTAGTCCCTGGGGCAAATGCTTGTCCAGGAATAAAAGTGCCTTTTCCTGGATAACTTATACCCCTCTGTGTAATTCAGCATGGTTCTGCCCATCGTTCTTGCTGTGTAGACAACCCCTGAAGTTCATTGTCAGATGGGTCCTTTCCCAAAGGAGCCACGCTGATGTGGAACAAACCGTCCTGCTGTGCAAGAACTCTGAGTATTAGGAATCTCCCCTGTGACATTTTGACTGTGGGAAATGACTGTCCAGATATGACCGTTCTTTCTGCCAGAGCCGTTATTAATAGTACAGATGCAAATTAAAGCTGTTTGTTCCTTCGTGTGGCTAGTAGCAGGCAGCATGCTTTTCTGAGTACTCAATTACTGCAGCAACTCTCTTGATCCTGTTTTTCTCTTTTCCAGAGGCAGAAGAAACTCTACTGATTGATATAGCTACAAACAGTAAGTGTTATAGCTGCAGTTGCACGGCTAAAGCTCCTTTCAGGAAACAGGCTGCCTGTCGGGCGCTGACACGCACGTGTGTTACCTACCACATCATAATCTTCCTCCGTACATTGTCTTTTGATCAAGCAGGGATTGTATTTCCTCTAAAGTTGTCTGGCTCATTTGGACAGCCAGTTGTCATGACAGACATGGTCTTAAATGCCCAGATCAATGTATGGGCAATTGGTCAAACTTGAACTTCTTAAGTTTTTTCTCAAGGCCCTGCATTGCGCTCGGAACCGTTCTTATCTCCCTTTTGTTTCTTTGCCCTGCACTTGAGCCTGGGTTACTATCCGTTGCCTTTTTCCGTGTTGGCAACACTCTATCTGGTCACCAATTCTGCTTCCCCTTTCAAGAAAGTTTTCTTAATGCTTCTAGAACTCTTCTCTGCGAAATCACAGCAGGGATACGTATTCCTAAAACCAGGAAAACATGACTGATGATACCCCAAGGGAAGTGGGAGTCGGGGGGGATCTCACAAGCACAGGGAAGCCAGCTTAGGTGCAGAATTCTGTCAGAAAAAAATAGCTGGAAGTTGGCTTTCATGGATGAGCTCAAGGGATGCCTAGAAAGCCAGGTCACTCTCAGGGCATAGTATCTGTGAACCAGCATTGAGTGATCCTGTGAGTCTGTGTTTGTGCCTGAAGCAGGCTGTAAGGTCCGGATACAAGGTGATGAGACAGCAGAGCGGCTCTTTGAAATCCCCGATGAGGAGCGTTGCTTAGGATTCCTTTCAGAAGTGCAGAGCATACAGGAAGGTAAGCAGAGCTGTAGTTGTGTCCGTGAAATCCTCTGACTGCCAGCAGATTCTGACAGGGCTGATTTTTTATTATTTTTTTTTTCCCCTCCAGCCCACCTGAAAGCTTCTCTTCCTGAACCAAAGGACTCGGCCAGCTGGCATCAGGTGGAGAAGAACCTCCCATGTCTATCGCAGGCCTCTTCTTCGGGTATTGAACTGTCTGTCGCCTTTGTGTGCTCTGTGCTCTAGAGGGTTATGGGTGCTCACGGCAGGGAGCTGTGTCTGAGCCTGCGCTCAGCAGCCTGGCCTCTGCCCTGCTTTCTCACTTCACGTTACCCTGCACAAAAATAAAATGTCTCTGTCCTTGGATTCTGTTGCCCTGGACCGCTCATTCCTTCTTGAGTGGTGTTTTCTGCCTAGTGCCTTGGTTTGTGTATGTTAAGCTCCCTCCTGCCTTGACTTGTGGTTAATACCCCTTTCTCTGATTCCCTGAGTCATCAGAGTTGATATATTGTTTTTTCACTTTCTGTGGAGTTGTATTTTTTCCCCCTCCTGTTCTGAGCTGTTTTAAATTGTTTCTGAGGGCATTGTGCTTGGTTTTTTTCATTATAGGAGCTCTGGAGTTTGAGGATGACTTCAACACTCTAAACCTAGAAGAGAAAAGAAATGCGCAAAACCACCAAACAGGATCTCGCCGGGAACCTCCACCTCCTCCTGTGCCTCAAAATAGGCAGTAAGTAACGTGGTGAATCTGTTCCCTTTTTTCCTTCTCTTCCTAGACAGCAGAACCGGTTTTAATTCTGTTCTTGCTTCCTTCCTAGATCTCACCGAGAGAGAGAAGGTACATCAAGAGACCAGCCAAAAGTGACTAACACTATGCGCAAAATGTTTTTACCCAGCACCCAGTCGGGACAAAGAGAAGGCCTCATCAAACACGTGCTTGCCAAGAGAGAGAAGGCGTACGTCAACCTTCACAACTTCAGGTTAGAGCCGTCAGTGCGGAACTGTGTGCGTGTAGAGACAAAGCTGTTCAATCTCTTCTGCAAACTCAAATCCAGCCCAGGTTTGAAAGCTGACAGCTGCTAATGTGTGGCCAGCTTGGGTGGCTAAACGAGGATCGGTGCAGACTGCACGCCAGTTAGTGCCCGCAGTGCAGCTTCTCCTTTTGCACCTCTTCCCCTGCGTGTATCAGGTCTCTGGACCCTCAAGTAAGACTAAAGCAGTTGAGCAGAAGGATAAAGGCAGCCATCCCGCCACACTGTCGTAGTGTTGCCCCACACGACATGAGAGCCAGATGTTCGCTGGCCCCAGTGAAATGTCTGTAGTTCTGTAGCATTCTGCAAAAGCCCTGAGATGAGTGTTGCTGAAAATGAGCCAAGCCTAGAAGAATTCTGATACCCCGTGGCTGGCATGGCCCCTGCGCGTGGACGGCTCGTGTGTGGGGTCTGCTCCCAGCCTGAACGCTGCTGTGCTTGCGCTGGAGAGACTGCGCTGGTGCGGTTGTTACTGTGGTTTCTAAAGGTTCAGCTGCTTTTGTGTTGTAGATTTTTTGTGGGAACGTGGAATGTGAACGGGCAGTCTCCAGACAGCAGCTTGGAGCCCTGGCTGGTGTGCGACACAGAGCCTCCAGACTTCTATTGCATCGGGTGAGTAGCAATAACCTCGTATTTACTTACGGTGCCAGGTTTCTTGTTGCTCTTGCTTGGGTACTGGTGGGCTGCATTAATTTTACGTTCCTGTCATGTTCTCGGAGGTTCCCCAAAGCCGAGCTGTGTCTCAGAAGAGCAGTCCGAGGGGAAAGAGCCGTTTCAATGAGGCAGGATATCGGGTTAAACAAGGCTGGCGTGACATTACAGAATAGATTTTTGTTGATGCATCTGCGGAGCTCTCTGGTTGTCTTCAGCCTAAAGTAATACTTCTCAGAGAGCTGGTGGCTGGAGTGTATCGCAGTAGGGCACTCTGGTGAAATTCTGCTGCTTTATTTAGCGAATGGGAATAAGGAGCTTCTCTTCCAAGCGGAGCTGTCACTAGAGGTGTCACATTGGACCTTCCTGTAGAAGGAGGGTGATGTATAGGAGTGGTGGGATGTGCTGAGTTGGCTTGGTTTTTTAGGTTCCAGGAGCTGGACCTCAGCACCGAGGTTTTTTTCTACTTTGATTCTGCAAAGGAGCAAGAATGGCTGGCTGCGGTGGAGAAGTCCCTGCACCCTCAGGCTAAGTATAAGAAAGTGAGTTCTGTTCAGCCTCGTGCAGTTTTGTCATAGAGTTGGCATGATTGGGAGGAAAACAGGAATGGGCTTCCCCTTTCCTCACCCGGCCCAAGAGTGGCGATTGGAGAAACCAAGGATGTGTCCTTGGCATGTGCATACCTGTGCTTGTGACAGGTAAGCTAAATCAAATCTGGAGAGTTGATTTCTGTGCCACAGTCATAGGGGGGTTTTGTACTTTGTGGTAGAAATTTATAAAGATGATGATCCAAGCAACTTTATAAAAGATGAGGTAGGTGTCAGGGAAGTAGATGCCATGCTCAATAGTAGTGTCATGCTCAATAGAGTCATAGCAGCAGATTCAAATTCTTTATCTGTGTTACCCTTCATCCTTGTACTATAGAAGTAAGGTGTGTCTTGAGCTGGGAAACTAAATGAACAGCTTTTCCTCGAAGGAATGGGATAATTTATGAGGTGAAATCTTCCAGAGGCGGCTGCCTTGGATCAGAGTTGCTTCAGTTGTGGCAGTAGGACTTTTATTCTGGCTGGTTTAGAGCAAGCCATTGTTGGTTTTTTTTTAATCTCAGTTGTAGCAAACCTTTCCACTGTAGGTACTAGTCCTAAATACATTAACTAGTTTCCCCTTCCTCCTTAGCCCATGTGTTCACTGTCACACCCCTGTCCTGCTTGGAGTTGAGCTCAGCGGCATGTGTCACAGGAGGAAAACAGCACCTTGCTTGATGAGATTCATCGAGAGGGAGCCGGGGGTCATGACCTGAGCTGCGGAGAGGCTCGTGTTCCTGTCCCTTTGCTTCACCTGAGTTTTTGGCGAATTTCTGCCACCCTGGTGAAAGGGAGAGACCAGGATACAGCTGCAGGCAGGGGAAGTGACTGAAACTGTAGATAAGACTTGGGGTCGCATGCAAATTCCAGTCCTGCAGAGTGGACTGAGTACTTGGGCCCTTCTAGTTGAATTCTCTGGTTTCAGCTTATTCCTTCACTATGTAGACTTAATCCCAAGACACCTTAATGTTTTTATGCCTCTAAAGTGAGCGTGTAGACTGCGCTCAAGAAGATTAGGCCTTGTCTTGGTCTTTCACAGTGGTGACTCCAGAAAGAGACTTTTTGCATTAGAGATCAAGTGTTTTCTGAAAAGCAAACAGTTTGTATAGCTTGGAGATGGCTGCCGTTTGATACCCCATGTGTCAGGCGCATTTTCCTCGGGAAATAAGAACTTTTCTGTCCGTTCCCCTCTAGCGCGTGTCACTGTAGTTGTGAGTAAGGTGAGCACCGGTTCCCAGCTGGGCCCGCAGCTCTCTGCAGCATGCCTAACTAGAGCACTCGGTATCTTCCTCTGGTTGTTTTGCTGATTAGAGCACATCTTAGTGTAAAAGGCTGAGGCTTCACGACCAGATCTGCTACGTGTCTATGAAGTTTCTGTTACCTCGCAAGACAGCCCTGTTTGTAGGGAAGCAGCAGAGTGGGGAACGCAGTGAGCTCGGCACAGCTGCTGGCTACTGGGGGATGATGGATTGTCCTCCAGAACCTTGCTTTTGGGTCCTTTGGGTGGTGTTGCAAGCAAGGATTGAGTACAAAACACGATGAGGAACGGGGAGAGCCAGAGGAGCAGAACATCAGGCAGAGCAAGAAAATCAGAACTGCATTTCCACTGCCTTTCTGCGAATTTATGATCCCTTTTATTTTTGCAGGTGCAAATGGTCCGTCTAGTTGGGATGATGTTGCTCATATTTGCTAAGAAGGATCATCTGAGCAACATCAGAGAGATCACGACGGAGTCTGTGGGCACGGGAATCATGGGAAAGATGGTGAGTCACCGAGGCCAATTTATTTCTTCTGTGTATCCGTGCAAGAAACAGCACCATCTGGTTTTGTCCACCTGTCTGTGCCATCCCCATCTCCTCCCCGGTGTCTCGCCCGCCTCCTGCTCTAACGACCGCTGATACCTGCTCTCCCCAGGGCAACAAGGGCGGTGTGGCGGTGAGGTTCGTGTTCCACAACACGACCTTCTGCGTTGTCAATTCCCACCTCGCTGCTCACGTGGAGGACTTCGAGCGGAGAAATCAGGATTATAAGGATATCTGTGCTCGGATGAGTTTTGTAACCCCTGATGATAGTCTACCTCAGCTCAACATCATGAAACACGAGTAAGTTTATGTTGCTGTTTTCCCCTTTTGAATAATCTGCATCAAGTCGGACTCACAGCAACAGATTTTGCACAGAGAAGTTTTCTGGCTCAGTAATATAACTGAAAACACCGAGTCCTTTGGTGTGCTGGCGCTCCTGCAGTCAAACTACACGGTCGCCTTCTCACTGCAGTGACTTGTGCAGCATGTCTCTAACGGCCCTTTCCTTGCACGTTGCATACAACGCTTCCATTTCAGCAGCACCCTTCCCGAGTCAGTGACTGAACGTTACCAGCCTTGAAGGAACTGACAGGGTTTATGGTGGGAGTATGGGTAGGGGAAGAAAAGGGACAGCAGGATGGGCAGAGGCTATGCTGTTTAGGCTTTTTTTGAGTAACAGGTGCTTATGATTGCTGTTTCAATTTCTTTTTAAATTAGTTGGATGATGCAATAGTTTTTTATTTTTTTTTATTTTTTTAATGAAGTGACAGTGGTGCTGAATTACCCAAATCAAACTCAAACCTGTACAACTAAGCATATAAATTAAGTTTTCTTAATCCTGACACAAATGATTAATACTTCTGTAGTTAATATTTAAACCATTTAAAAACTGAAAATAAAATGTAGAGTGGATTAGTACAGAAAAAATTTCAAATATTAGATCATGCTTGATAATCCACTAATGGAAATTTTGAGGCTTGACTATAAACAGGAAGAGCTTTGATACTAGAGAGCTGGTTAGATTTTAATCTTTAAGTGAAACCTTTATGGAGTAAAGAGTGAATGTGACAAGTGTTTCATTAGCTGCTGGTATGAGAAGGTGGCAGGCCTGTTTGAAAGCCCCAAGAGAGCAGGTGCTGATGGGTGAGACAGGACAGAAACATCCTGGAGGCCGTAACCTCAAGAGGAACCTAACTTTGCTTTTGCCAGTTCTGCACCGGTCTCTGCTAGGTAGAAGATAGAGAAGGGACTGATCTGGCTGAGAGAGAGGCGGTAGAAAATGAACTGGTAAAACTGTGGTATCGCACGCGGTGTGAGCATGCAGATACATGCACGTCAGCCTGCCTAACTGGTTGACGAGCAGGCTCTGCTTAACGAGCTCTGTCATTGCCCTCGTCTGTACACAAGAAGAGCCTGAATACTAGGTGGATTTTGTGTAGCTTAGAGGTCATGAAGCTTGGTGAGATACACTGGTTTCACCTCATTAGAGAGGTGCTGGTGTTCTCAGGCCTTTTTCAGACTGAGGCAAACTCAACTAAGTCTTTAATCCCATGTGGGATTCCAAGGGAGATGGACGTGGTACTGTCGTATCTGCTGCCACTAGAAATTTCTGCTGTCGATCTTTCATGTCTCCTCCTGTCTTCCATGTGTCACAACCTTAATCACCAGCAACCGTCTCATCTATTCTCCCGCGCACCTTTGTCCCTGTGTGGCCTGCAGTACTAACTACTGGCTCTTCTTTTCCATGTTTGTCCCTGTTTTCAGTGTTGTCATCTGGCTAGGAGACTTGAACTACAGGCTTTGTCTCCCTGATGCCAATGAAGTGAAAAGTCTTATCAGTAAGAATGAACTTCAGAAATTGCTGATGTACGACCAGGTCAGTGAACTCCGCTTACGTTTGCTCTGTGCTTGTGAGGTCATCTCGGTTTAAGATGTGCCTGTGCTTGGGAGGAGCTGCCAGACGCTCTGCGATAAGTGCCTATAGGCATAGATGCTAGACTCTCGAGAGAGCTCGGGGTGTCCTGGTGACAGCAACCCCCGAAACAAAAGCAGGTTGTACGTTACACCGGGGTTAACTGGGTGACTCGGGCAATGACCATACAAGTGTCTTTGCATCTCATTGGAAGAGTTCTCTCTTACGTACAGACTACAAGCTAGGACACGGGAACGTGTAAGAGCAACAAAAGCTGCTGTAATGGGTATTGATTTGGAGACCAGCACTTGTGGCCAAGGCTCTCTGCTCAGCCAGTTTGACCTAAATTCTCTGCTGTAGTCCTCCTTGCTCAGCATTTCTTTGCAGCACGCTGAAAACCAAGACGGCACCAGATGTGCCTTTAAGATGAAGGATTGTACCTGTGAAACATGAACAGAAATAGCGTAATATCATCTCTGACACACAATTTAACAGTAAATCTGATTGATTCTGTGCTGTAGCTCATTTCTGCTGTACTGCAGAGCTTCATGCAGAAAACAACTGTGGCTTAGATTTTTGTGAGGAAAACAACTAGGAAATTTTTCAGAAGAGTAAATGAGAAAAGGAAAGCAGTGTCAGGTTGTCAGGCAAGTGCACTCCTGGGGGCTTTTTCTAAAAAGATTGGCAGTGAAATATTAATGATGGTGATGCTTGCGCCTGAAAACTAATGAAGGCATTTAGTACAAGTGGAGTAATTAATATTTCCCTTAACTATTGTTTTATGCTGCCTGCATAGTCTGGTAAGCAGCACTGTGCCAATTTGTATTCAGTCTGCTCAGAAGACATTCCACCGATGTGTGGAATTTTTACCTTTGTTAAAGGTATAAGGTGTGAGAGGCAGCTGGGGGGTGTCTGGTGAGGCCCGTGGCTGCAGGTTGCAATTGCTCTGCCTATAGATCTGCTGACACTGCTGGGGGGGGGTGTGTGTGTGTTTGGGGTTGTTTCTTGGTTTTGTGGGGTTTTAAAAGTGTTCTTTTTCTGCTTTAGCTGAATATTCAGCGCACTCATAAGAAAGCATTTGCAGATTTCACCGAGGGAGAGATTAAATTCATCCCCACATATAAATATGACTCTAAAACAGATCGCTGGGACTCCAGGTAAATCAGCTGCTGACGGACATGCTTACCTATGACACAAAAAGCATTTTCTCACAAAACTTGATTTCCTGCTTCCTAGAGCTGGAAATACCTGTCAGTGTTATGGTGATGGCTGGAGTGCACAGGCAAGTTTGTACTCCTTCGTTTCCCCTTCTTTCTGAAATAAGCAGACCCTGTATACATTGACCAGGCATGTGCCTTAAACCTCGGTTGCTGCCGATGCTAATAGATGAAGGCGGGTAACATATGAACACGCAGGTGGCCCTGCACTGGTGGGTTTTTTTCTGCTACAAGGGACAGACAAACAGTATAAAAGGAACTGAAGAGATAAGGAAATGCTGTCTCTGAGTCATCCTGTCCCCTGACACCCGCAGGGGTGGCTACGCTGCGATAGCAGCAGTGGTTCCTGCGTGGTGCCTCCCACAGACATCTATGCATCTGCTGCAGAAGCTTGCTGTAAACGGAGAGACTCTCAAGAAGGAGTTCCAAACCATATAGTGATCGGATTTTACTCTGCCTGTGTTTATGAATCAGCACTGTAGTTAATCTGGAGAAGAATAACGCAGGATTCAGACTTCATAACATAATAGTAATGGCTGAGTAGACTTTCCATAGTGGAGACAGTAAGCGATGGATCAGATTGTAGTGGGCAGAAAGATCTGGCAGGAAAAGAAACTAGTGCAGCTTGGGTCACAGCACACATGGCTTCAGGCTGGGGAAACAGTCTCATTTGATGTTATTTTGTTTCCTGATGCTGGAAAGGTTGGGAATTTTAGCTACTGTACAGGGAAGGGGGAAGAGAGCAGAAGAAACATCACTTCCCTCAAGTTAAGTACCATGTTAGGAGTTCATCCCATCGCTGCTGAGGCAGTCATTGACGGGGTGGAGGGAGCTGCCTGGCTGAGAAAAGGAATGGCTTGGATGGTTTATCAGGATTCTTGGATTTCCCTGGTAACCTGTTTTTCTTTGTAGTGGAAAGTGTCGTGTGCCAGCGTGGTGCGATCGAATCCTTTGGAGAGGGGGGAACATAAACCAGCTCCGGTATTGCAGTCATATGGAACTGAAGACTAGCGACCACAAGCCAGTCAGCTCGCTTTTCCGCATTGGGGTAACTTTTTTTTTATATGCTAGAGTAGGATCACGGTATTGTCATGCATTCCTTTGGGAGGTGGTTATGTAGTCAGGGCACCTTGGCTAATGCTGTTGCAAGAGGGCAGAGTAAATAAAAATAAGGTGTGTCTGCTGTGTGGGGGTGCTGCTGTTTGGCAGCCCTGCCAGGCTCTGCTCGGCAGATAGCTGGGCAGCTGTGGTCTTCGTGCGCAATGCAGCTGTGTAGCAGCGGGACAGTGCTGAGCCACAGTAATGCAGGTGATCACTGGAGTTTACTCGAGCAGGTGTGGTCGTGTAGTAAATAAAGTGAAATCTAGTTCTAGAGTGGGTGAGCTACTGTTTTCTGTCCTCTGCAAGACGCAACAGAAACCTGTAAATAGTTGTGCCTATTGTTGCAATGTTGCCTCTGATGTGTTAAGAGTGTGTGTCACTGGTTCACATCTGAATTTCTTTGGTGGTGAATTGCTGGCAGCAGGCTTGGGTTTCCTAACGTAGTGAATAGAGACAGTCTGTGTCCAGTTTTGCTACCTCCTGCTCCCTAGGTAGCTCACGTCTCCTTGAAGGAGAGCCTTTCTCCCCTTCCTCTGGAGAATCACGAGTAATGCTGCAGGATGACAATGCTGTCCCACAGAGATCACCCCCAGTAATCTCCCAATAGCATGATCGGTGGCCAGAAAGACCCTAGTAACATCTGTAGGGGTAAAACGTGTAAAGTTGCGTGTGCAGCTTGGAGGCGCGTCCATGCGTGCAAAGTCTCTTGGGCTTTCAGCTGTGCATAGTGAATGCTTAGAGAAATATTTCACTTCTGCAATTTGCTCAAAAGAGTTCCTGTGAAGCTGGTCGGAAACTTTGCTGAGTGTTTTCTGATCTCCCACAGGTGAAGGTTGTGGATGAGCAGAAGTATCGGAAGTTGTTTGAAGATATCGTTCGTATAATGGACAGAATGGAGAATGACTTTCTTCCTTCGCTGGAGCTCAGCAGGAGAGAAGTGAGGATGAAACCTGAATCCCTGCCCACTTCCCAAACACAGGAGCCTTCGAAGTGCTAGAACTATTTTTAAAGACTTTGATTCAGTAAACTGGATTATAGGAAATTGAACTTTATCCATTATCTTATGATCAGAAATTGGATTAGAAGGGACATCTAGTCTTGGCTTCTTGACAGGTCTTCTGCTAGGAGTTCTGCATTGTGTGGGCATCTCCCAGTCATGGGTTGCCACTGCAGCGTCTGGGTGCCTAGCTGTGTCCCCCACCGTGGCCACTAATGAGATTTGTGTTTGCTCTTTGCTCTGCAGTTTGAGTTTGAGAATGTGAAGTTCCGTCAGCTGCAGAAGCAGAAGTTCCAGATCACCAATAACGGGCAGGTCACCTGTCACTTCTCCTTCATCCCAAAGCTCAACGATAGCCACTACTGTAAGCCATGGCTTCGGGCCGAGCCGTGCGAAGGTTACTTGGAGCCAGGTGAGCTTTACCACAGTTTCTACAGTGTGTTCTGGTGTAGATGGCCACCCCATCTCCATTCAGTCCCTCCCGTCTTTCCTGTGTCTCGCCTTTCTTGCCATCATCCTTGTCTGTCTTCTCAGTTTTATGGCCGTTGTCCCTGCCACTGTGTGTTTGTCCTCGTCATCCTTTTTGGAGAGTGTCTATGTGTTCTTGAGAGCTCCTGTCTGTTGCAGATGAGAGCACGGACATCTCCCTGGATGTGTACGTCAGTAAGGACTCAGTAACCCTTCTGAACTCTGGCGAGGATAAAATTGAGGATATTCTTGTCCTTCACTTGGACCGAGGGAAGGACTATTTCCTTACCATCAGTGGGACTTACCTGCCCAGCTGCTTTGGCACCTCCCTGGAGGCCTTATGCCGAATGAGACGACCGATTCGAGAAGTTCCAGTCACCAAACTCATTGACCTGGTGAGTAGCAGCATTCTGGAGCAGCTCTCTTAACAGGGAGAGAGCATATTCCCCTGTTTATTCCTAAAAGCAGGAGTAATGCCTTCAGCTTGGGTCAGCTGTGCTGGCTCTGAGCTGATTTACTTTTTCCAGAGCTTGAGGTGCTCTTTTTGTTATTTCCCTCCATCACAACCAATGGCTTTTGACAGCCTGTACTTTATCCCCTGTTTCTGAGTAGGTTCTGAATATTGTTTGGTGGGACAAAAAAAGTGATCCCAGCACCTTGTGTTTGTGTTAGCGTCACATTGGTGCTGGCAGGCTCAGCTGGGTGGCACTGCTGTGTCATGAGAGGTATGACTGAAATGCTCTCCTCCGAGGTGCCTCGGCTGCTTCTGCATGATGAGGGCTCCGGGATCCTTTTCCTTCTGGGTGCTGGTGGCATTCGTACTGCTCAGGAAGGAACAAACAGGAGGACCAAAGAAAGGACTCTGATGCTGTTAGGTCTGCTGATGAGCACAGCAAAGGGCCAGTCTCGCAGCCTCTCTGGCCAGTTCCTCTCGCACCAACCGCAGTGAGCAAGCTCTTCTGCAGTGCAGAGATAACTGTTCCTCTCCCCAAGCTTTACCAGCCCCTACCATCCGTATTCAGCCTTCTGAAGCCGCTTGTGTGCGCATGTGGGGGTGCAGTTGTGCCCTAGTCACCTTTTGTCTTTTTGGTATCTCGTGGCTGTTTCTGAAATCAAGCCCCATTTTGGGGATCTTAATTCCTGTTTTCAGCCCACGTTCGTTCCTCTCTTCTGTTGGCCTTTCCTGGCCGTGCTTCAGTGAGGCTTAGCAGTTGAGTTTTAGTCTGTTTACCCATTCTTGTTTAGCCAGAAAGCCATTTCTTTTTTGTTCACCTGAAAGATTAGCCCAGTTCTTTTAGTCTCTCTGACATGTGATACTTTTCCTCTCTTCTCATGTCTTGCAGTCTCATCCTCACATGCATACTTTTTTTGTCCAGTGAGCTGCTGCTTTTTCACATCTGTAGATTTGACAGCTTCCGCTCCCCTCTGCTTACACTTCCTCCTCTTCCCTTTAGCAGTTGCACCATGCCTCTTGCTGTGTCTTCCAGTTTCCACCTTTTGTGGTAGGTGTCTACTTTTCTCACAGGCCCAACATACAGAAAGACCATTTTTATACCAGAATTTTGATTTCGTAATCATGAGATCAGGCTAAGCACAATCCAGGTGGCAAGATACAGCGTGTGCCTCCTCAATTCAAGCAGCTCATCCAGGCCTCAGGCTCCTCATACTTTTCAGGATTCAATTGAAAGTCAATCTTGTTCTAGAAATGTGTTGAACTTGGTCCGGAGTATTTCATCAGGCTTTTCCACCTGCTTTTGCCTGCTCAGTGCTCAGCAGTGACTTCTTGCTTGATAGACAGGAACTCAGGCCTAGACTTCTAGCCTCTGCCCTGGCAGACACAGGCTAGTACTTTTCTGAGAATACTTTGAGGCTTCTTCTGCTTCCTTTACCTATAGGTTTCCTTCTTTTGTTATTCAGTGAAACATATAGAGGCACAGAAAGCAAAACAAATCGGAGAAGAGCACCCTATCCCAGTATCTGCAGCAAAGAAACGGTCTCTTGTGTCAGTGAGGTCAGCGTGACTGTGGTACTTCAATCGGAACATGTTAAGCAAGCTCAAAGAATACGATGTGTAACGGCCCAAAGCAAAATTTAGATGATAAAGCTACTGTCATGTTAGAGCTATTTTAGGTCTTTTGGTTTTGATCGTACCTGTGAGTTGAGAAATTCTTGAAGACAGGACAAGCCGAGCGCTTTCCGCAGGAGAGAGCGGTGCACGTGCTAACCAGAAGCGTTTTGGTCCAGTTACGTGTGTTTAGCTGATGTTTAGAGTGTGTGCGAGGAAGGCAGAGTGTTTGTGTATTAAGAACCATTTTCCCTCCTGCACTTGCGTAGTGTTAGGGCTTGTCGTTCACTGCATCAAGCATTTTTCTTGGTCTGGCTAGGCTGTACCTGTTGTCTTCAGCAGAGGGAGATCTGGAGATGCAGGTCAGTAAGGGTTTGATGCAGGATAGCAAAGGGTAGGTGGAAGCTCATTTGGAATTGGCTCTCCTAGTTCTCCTGGGGGAAGCAGCTGACACTCGAGCATCTCACCTTTGGGATTTCAGTATTGGCGTCTCATTCTGTTTTTTTCTTGGGATCCTACTGTGGGCTTTAAAAAGCCTCTTGAATCTTTGTCAGGAGCAGGGTAGTCGTGCTGAATACTACAGGAAGAGAGGTGAAGAGCGAGGCAAGCAGCCAGGTAGTTGGTGGTGAGACTGAGATGACCCAGTTAGGAAAGGAGCCCCTCTCCCGAGCAGCGTGGCTCTCTGGCCTCCCAAACCTGTCACTGCGGTCCCTCCCCCTGTGCCTTGGAAGAAGAACCTGCGCCAGCTCGTGTTTGGAGCAAGCTGTTCTCTGCAAGAAGCCGGTCTGTCACGGCCGTGTTAAAACTCAGCGAGCCTCCAAAGGAAGCAGGCACTGCAGAAATCGCAGGGGAGCCTGAGATGCTGCTCCCTTCCAGGTGTGCCCTGTGCCACCACGGCTCCAGCAATGTCTCCAGCTCAGCCCTTGAACGCATTTTGGTTGCTCCTGCCCTGAAAGGTTGATCTGCCAAAACTCAGCTTGGGCAACCTGCTTGTTTCCTCCTGTGGACTCCACCAAACAGCGTCTGATGCTGCCAGCCTGCACCGCGCTGGTCAGCCCATGCTGTGTCTCAGAATCGCCCAAGGGATTGGACATGCAGCCTGGAGGGGGCTTTGCTGTGCTCCTCCTTGCAGCGTGTTAATGCTATTAGGTTGAGACAGACGAGCAGCCTGGGGTTTTGAGCACAAACACTCGTTTCCCTGACTATACACAAAGCTGCTTAGGGGGCCTGTTAGCTCCGCAGCTGCCACACACTCAGAAATACAGATTTAGCCTAGTGAATGTTTTATCTCTGCCCTGGTCACAAGGGAAGATGGCTGAAATAATACAGGGGTATTTATTTCTGACCAGGAAGATTCAAGAAGGCAGACTTCTTCCTGGTGGATGCCTCTCACCTGCCTGTGGCCTGACTGTTTGCTAGGGAGCGAACAGTGCTGCTGCAAGGCCCCTTTGAGGAGTTTGTAGAAATCCTGACGAGGTTGTACATCATGTGAGCAGGATTTTTGCTAATTGGCAGGCAAATCTCTCACCGCAGGTTTAGCTTTGGCCATGTCAGCAAAACGTGTGAAGGACCTGGCATTCAGGGGGTTCTTGTAATGCAAATTAGGTTTCTGCTTAATCTGAGAGTGCGTGCTCTCTCTTAATGATACTTTTTCCTCTCTTTCCCACTGCTCTCAGGGAGAAGACAGCTTCTTAGAAAAGGTAATGCAAGCAATTGCTGGGGAAGTCTGCTTCTCAATGGCTTGTTTGTAAAGAGTGAGAGTTTTCCCCTTGTTTTCTGAGGAGGGAAGGGGAGGTGGGTGCAGAGGAGCCTTGTTCCAGCAAAGCCTCTTAGCACAGCTGTGGGCTGGATGAGAACATGTAGGAGCCCAAAGTGACCCCGTAGCCAAGATGGGCCAGCCCAGCCAAGCTGCTTAAAGCTCACCAAATTTGCTTTAGGGGGAAAAAATACTGTCCTCGTCCTAGCAGCAATGATAGATGCTTCCAGAAAAGATTGGCAGCCCTTGACGTATCTGAATTAGCTCTGACCACACACATAAGATAGGGTTCACCACAGCACCCCACAGCATGTGGGGAGAGGGCTGAATTAGAAGACCAAAGTCTTTTGCTCTTTCCATCTTCACGTGTCCTTACAGAGGCCGAGGGTGGACCTCGCATAGACAGAAGTTTCTCTGCTTCCTCAGCAGCAGAGCTTGGGCTGCCGGCTCGCACCGCCACCGCTGCCCGAGCAGGATCACTGCCTTGCCTTGCGCTTGTGCTCCGCACTGGAGGCCAAGCGAGTCAAATGTGTCCTTCGAAGGGCAAGTGGGAGATGCTGGGGGTGTGTGGCAGTGTTGTTCCTGCTCTCCCTCCGCTAGCTCAGACATTTGGTAACTTGTTTGAGCTGGCCACGTGCTGGCGTCCTGGGCTGGGTGACTTGTCCCTCTCCAGGCCATCAGCACAGTGACAGGGCAAAACAGGAGAGGGAATGGATGTCCCCTCTCCAAGAGGGGACTGAACTGGGGTGTGAGCCAGGTGAAGCTCCCAGGCTCCTTCCTAGCAGAGGGGAAGGGAGGAGGTTGGTGCCTGCCTCCTGGGAATGTCCTTTTGCAGAGCATCTTCCCTCCCGCGGGGACACGGACGTGCCTTCCCTTCCTCGCACACGGCAGGAGAGGGCGCTCGGTGCCCGGTCGATGCACAAGGGAAACCGGAGGCCCAGCGCGCCGCCTCCTCTTCCTCCTCTGCCCTGAGGAGCCCCGAGCTTTCTCCTCCTCCTCCTCTGCTCTAGGCAGCAGGCATCTCTTGCCTTGGGGGTCTCCGCAGCTCTCTGAGTCGTGCCAAGGGCAGCCTGGTAGAGTCGAGTCCTGCTCTGGCACTCAGCTCCGGTGCTGCAATGCCCTGGCAAGGGGATTTTCTGTTAGAGGGTCTGCAGCTCCCAAAGAGCGTCCACAGCTCTCACCTTTTCCCTCTTAGAGAAAAGCTGTAATGCGCTTGCTTAATGTGCTGCTTCCAAACCTTCCCTGTGTGCTTGGAGGAGCGAGGCAGATTGCTTCTGGGTAAAATCTGGCGGTGTGCGGGGCGAAGCAAAGCTGTGCTGTGGGGGTATTGCCCGTGCCGACAGGGCTCGTGCCGAGCGGGGGTGTCTCTGGGTGCAGTGGGGGCAGCTGAACCTAACCGCAGCTGGCTGTGAGTGGTTGTGTGTGCCGCAGAGGGACAGCGGTCACAGTTGTCACGTAAGCTGACAGCTGAAATGAAGTGCTTTGCATTTGGCTTGTGGCGTTCCTCTCTGCTGGTGTCCTTGGGTTGTGTTCCTGCTTGTGCCGGTCTCTGGGCACTTCTGCTGAATGTGTTT